GGCTGGACAAAGGGGCCTTTCAACAGGACGCACCCCGGCCGGTTAACAGGAGAGAAGCCGGAGGCTGGAGAAGAGCCGGCCATTGGTGTGGAGTCCACGCCCTGGCAGTAACAGAAGCGTCCTTCTTAGGGGAGGGGTCAGACACTGGAGGCGAATACCAGCACAGGGCAGAGATACTTCTTTCTCTAGTCTCTAGACTTCCCCCTCACGGCTAGGGTTTACCAAATAATACAGATGCTATAAACTGAGTCGTGTTCCCCAAATACCCATATACTGAAGTCCTAACCCCCAAGACCTCAGAATGTGACTATATTTGGAGACAGGGCCTTCAAAGAGTTAATTCAGGTGAATGAAGTCATGTGGGGGGCCCTACTCCAATGCGACTGGTGTCCCCATAAGAGGAGGCGATGAGGACACAGACACGCACAGAGCGATGACCATGTGAGGACACAGGGAGAAGATGGTGTCTACATGCCGAGGAGAGAGGCCTCAGGAGAAACCCACTTGCTGACACCTGGATCTCGGCCTTCCAGCCTCCAGAACCAAGAGAGTAAATGTCTGTGGTTTATGCCACCAGTCAGGGGTGCTTTGTTATGGTGGGGTAGCTGACTAATACAACATCTGATGTAGACGTCTGGACAGCACCGGGGTGTCACAGGCACTAATGTCAGCTCTGGCTCTGACAGCCTTCTGTGTGTCTAGCACTTACTGAGCACCAGCTGGGGGCGGAGCCGTCCCCAGAAAACTTCCTAGGGCAAACTCAAGAGTGGAAGATCCACAACATTCAGAGCAAGGCTGAACGAGAGGAAAGCCCAGAGCAACCTAAGTGACAGATGCAAACACCATCCGAAGTGCCCCCTGGTCCTTCGGTAACGACAGGTCTAACACCTTTCATCCGTGCTGACAAAGGTAAGGAATTCCTCTAGCAGCCAGTTGAGCCAAACGTCTTATCCACCTGTGCAGGGTCCTCCCTGAGTCCCAAGGGCAATCCTCCAGGCACAGCCTGTCCTATGGCAAGGAGTCTATTTTTAGCTTGTGGAACCAGTTTTCTTCTCGGAGCCTCTTCGGGTGGGGCCACTGAGAGCCTGTGGGTCTCACCCCCAAGCGAGGGGGCTTCAGCAGCAAGCACGGCTCTCTCCCCGGGTTCTCCAGGGCACCTGGGACACGGCCCTCCCCGGTTCTGCCACATACTTCTGTGAAAGTGGACGACTGATAAAGAGCTGGTAAATGAGCGAGCCAGGCCTATTGGGAAACCAAATGCCATCATGACTCTTAAAACAACATGGGATCAAAAGCAAAACAGGGTTTTCCTCATTTCTGAGACCAAGAACGATTCACTGAAACTGCTCTTGCCTCAAGGAATTCCTTAACTCATCCACGTGAACGAGCCACGCGCCGGGAGTTCAGGTGCCAGTGGCTCCTCTGGTGGATGGAGTCTCCCTCCCTGACATCCGCCCTCGGATCCTCTGCTCTGATGGGGCCACAGCAACGGGGACCCAGCTACTCGGCTACCTGGCCGTGTCCCACACGACCTGTTACCAGCACCGCAAGATCGGAAAAGGGAGTCCTCTTTTTCACCAATCAGAAGTTCCAGAGTTACCCCCTCAGTCACGTCCCTCTCCCTCTCGCCTTCTGACGTGTCTTCTTCAGGTGGAGAGAGACACCAGGGAGAAAATTTCAAGGTGGTGAATCACGGGGGAGAAACCTGAGAACTGGAGGCTGCCAGGTCCTGGCAGGAAGTGACCACGTCCCCTTGTCTCCTTCCCCAGACCTGGACGGCAGGCCTGGCCCAGAGCAGGAAGTCATGACAACCAACCAATCCATTCTCACCCCACCAGAGGGCTGCAGGCTCTAGGAAGGCAGCGGGGCACCAGGATGAGGGAGGGGAGGGATGCCTGTTGCCCTAGTGCTGGAGAAGATGGGAGCTGGGAGGAACACAGCGGGCCGTGGGGGATGAATGGGGGTGACTTCCGCCTACAGCTACCCTCCCTGTTAACAGCTCAACAACCAGTGCCTGAAACAGACAAAAGCATTCTTTCTACTCTCTCCAAAGTAGAAAAAGAAAGCCTCCCAGAATTACATGCAGAAACATACAGAATGGTAACAACAGGGCAAGAACTCATGTGATTTTTTTCTCATCTGGTTCACGTTTAAATGCTCGCCCATGCCATGTAACATCACAGAGCACTCCCTCTGAAAGGCATCAGGTATTTTCTACCAAGTTACAAAAAGAAAAGCGCTCCTACATGTAACAACTATCTACAGGCACCATTGTTTTTAAATTCCCAATTTTTTATTTGTTTTTAAATCATCAGAATGTTAAAAATTAGATTTCCGAAAACGAAAGCCAAGTATAAGCTTTACTACTGCTCAACAATCTTACTTTGGTAGAAACAAACAAATTAAAAATGTTTCGGCTGGCGGCCCGGGTTCGGATCCCGGGTGCACACCGACGCACCGCTTCTCCGGCCATGCTGAGGCCGCGTCCCACATGCAGCAACTGGAAGGATGTGCAGCTATGACATGCAACTATCTACTGGGGCTTTGGGGGGAAAAAATAAATAAATAAAATCTTTAAAAATGTTTCGGTGTTTTACAATGTCAAACAACAGGAAAGAAGCTGCAAGCCAGAGAGAGGGTTTTGGAACCTGGAGTTGCAAATCAGTCATTCTGAGACTTAAAATACCACACAGGGTGAACAGGCCAGCGCTCTCTGATAGGAGCTGGTTTCCACTTTCACTTTTAGCTGAGACTGTGTCCTCCCATGCAGACACTGCCCAAATCCACGGTCTTTATAGTAACTGAGCACATTCAGGGCTCAGTGTTACTGTTGATCGTAACAAGGAGATATCAGTTACACTGTCGGAGTGCAAGTTATAGAAAATAACGAGTCAGTGCCCATTCAATATTTACTAGAACCATTTACATATTTATAAAGTTGGTGCTCCTTTCAATGAGGAGAGGAGGATTCCGAGTCAATAATAATATTATAAAAATGTAAATCCCTTCTAGTTCACCTTGGGCCTGAAATCACTAGGCAAGAAACCAGACAACACTGTTCGTAACGTTAAGATAAAATATGACCGGGAGCAGCATGCAATCACTCATTTGCTTTACATGGATGATTTGAAAGCCAATTATGGAAAATTACCCACTTGGCTGATACAGAAATTGAGTCCAAGTACTGCTCGGAGAAGGACTCCTTGCTGCAGAGTTCATTATTATCAGATAAAAGCTGTGCTCGAGACCATAGCAAAGGGGCCTTGAGGCTGCAGTTCAGCTCAATCCAGTGGACGTTTCTAAGGCCCTTTGTGTGCAAGTGAGGGGCAGGAGTCCCCCCTTAGCTTACGACGTTCTGGTGACCTGTCATTTGTCTTGAGTTGTAACATGCACAATTTTATGTTGAGTTAAAGCACCAAAGAAATCTAATAATTTCCTTTTCCCTTCTACAAATGAGGGTGGATACCAAGTTTTGCACACAATGTCAGGCCTATTTCCTCATCATCTGAGATGATTCTTGAGTGGTAGAGAAAGGAGCGGACAGAGGAGGAGCTACCGGGAACCCTGCGATTGGTGGCCTGTGAGTATCACCCCTTGTGAGCGGCTCAGGAGGAAAAAGGCTGAGAACCATTACTCCGAGACACTCCAGGGGACTCAAAGGCAAGGCTGAGAATCATAATCCAGTGGAAGAAGCTGATGCCTGTGAAATAGGGTGGACGTTGGCGCACGCCATGCTAGAAATACAGAGAAGATTAACTCTGAGTAGCTGGAAGGATTCAGATGATTTTTATTTGCGTTTTTCCCATTTCCCATCTGTATTGTCCAAACACTCCAGAATAAGGATGTGGAGGCAGATACCACTGGGGGGTCAGGCTCAGTGAGACTACAGTGGGTCTGGAGTCCAGGCCGAGGAGTTCCGGTCTTAGTCTGTGTGCTAAGGACTGCCCTAGAAGTTTCTAAGGGTGGGAGGCTAGTCATCAAGAGTTTTAGCAGGAAACCCTGGCAACTGCAGCGCAGGACGCACGGGAATGGGAAGAACAAGAACCCAGGTGGACCTGGGGAGCTCTGAAAAGTCCCCATGTCGGCACCTGGATCCCAAACTCTGAGGGTGGGGGAGGACCCCAGTGGGTTGGAAAACTGCGGGTGATGCAAATGTGAAGTCAGGGGTGAGCAGCCTCGAAGGGCGGAGGAAAACAGGGAGAGGCTGCGCTGCTCCCCTGGACGGAGGCGTCCTCAGGGCTGAACCCCAGAGCCCCCGGCAGCCGGGTGCAGGCTACAGATTCAGTGGAGCTCTGAGGAAAACCCAAGTACTTTCTGCCCTTTAGCCAAACACCTGGGGTTCAGAATGAGCTCTTCCGGCAGGTGACGGGGACTGCCTCCTCGGAGAGGAGAAGTCAAAGCTGACCCTGAGGGGTGAGAGGAGCACTCTCCGCAGAGGGAGAGGAGCACGGCGGGGGAGGGCGCTGGGAAACTAATACTGCAGTTAGGTTCTGGAGCTGACAGAAAGCTGATCGGTTTCGCTGGTAATGAATTAGTTTAAATTTTCATGGTCTTTCAAAGCAGCAGCTAATTAGATACAGTGAAATCTGGGAATACTCCTGCCCCAAAAATAGGAAATGTTGAAATAACAAAAGTAGTTTTGCATGAGAGCAAAGAAATTTTATAATCTCTTTTCCATGAAAACCTTCCTGTACCTCCACAACAAATCATACAGAACACGGGCAAGGGCCTCTGCAGCCTCTTTTCTTCTCCTTCTCCATTCCTCCTCTCCCTGTCTCTTTTTCCTCTCGCCCTCCTTCCCTCCCTTCTTTCCTTTCCAGGTCCAGGTCTGCCTATGGACATGCAATTTCCTGAATAAATGAACGTGGAGGCCCCAGCTTCCCCCAGCTGTCAGGGAAGAGCTGTGGTATCTAAATCTATTACAAATCAAGAGGAATTGTGTTTAATAACAAAAACAAAGTGTGTGTTTTAAGGATTTTTGAGCCATGCTCACTTCTTACCTTATTGCCCTTCTCAGCACTTAAGTCTCGCTTTCCAGCGTGGTTTCCCATCTTGAACCGATGAGCTCTTCAGAAGCTAAAAGACGAAGAGGAGGCGTTAGTCTTAAAACTAGGGCTTTCAGAGTTTTCTACGTTGTTTTCCCATCAGAACAACAATCCTGTGAAATATGCTACGCCCATTTCTGAGAAGAGAAAACTAAAGCCCCCCAAACTCAGGAGACACGCTGAAAGTCTTACTAGGGAATGCCATCGTCTTTAGATCTCATGAAGAAAACTAGAAAATAGGAGAGCTGCCAATACCCAAATTCTGTTCAGTAACAAACACCCTTCGGCCTGTTTCCTCATCTATTAAAAAATCAACCCATCTCAAGAAATCTCGTGGACTGTTTCTATACAAATACATACATACAGAGGAAGTCACACCTCACGCAGGTATAATATCATGAGACAAACTGAGATGCAGAAAAGTGCTGATGCTCTCCGAAAATAAAAGGTCATAAGTGGGTGCTCACTGCACAGGGAATCGTGTGAGCACAGAAACAGCAAGGTCAGGCCAAGGACTGCTTATCAAACAAGTATCCCAAGAATCTGCAGAATTTCTAGGGAAGATAAAGTTGGATAAAAAAAAAAAGCGTGTGTTCCTCATTTGTATTTTCTAACAAACTTTAGCAGCAAATTCATGATTTTTTTCCCCAAAAAGGCACAAAACTGAAGAATTTAACCAAACCAATTCCAAACACATTGCTCATCCCACCACATCCCTGTCCCTGCACTAGCCACAAGAACCACTTGTACCATCACCTGAGATGGGTCACCTGGCCACAGGTGACCAGGCTTTACCAACAATTATAAAAAGTAATTTTCCATGATGTATTCTTTTTAAAGAACATGTGAGTGCCGACTCCCTGCTGAACAGGAACAGCTTTCCCTGAAAGGTAATAAAACGAATCGTCTCCTAAAAACGGGAATGGGGGATTTGTAAAATATTATATATGTTCGAAAGAAAGGCAAGTTTTGTTCGCCAAAAGGCAAGAGGGAATTTGCCTGATATCTGAATTTTTCCAAAGTCTCCCAGATCACTGGGTGCCTCTTCGCTAACTATGAAGGATGAGGATGCTCTTCTCCAGAAGGACCCCCATCGACAGTGGCTGTGTGGAGGGTTGACAGGATTGGGGAGCAAGGAAGCAATGACATCTTTCAGTGTCACCTCCCAGTGTGGGTGTACAGTGGGTTACTACACGATGGAGACTGTAAACAGCCAACCACCTTCATGCTATGTAAATGGAAACTGGGGCAGAGGAGAACATTTCCAGTGAGCTGCATGCAAGAGAGAGTTTAAAAAGTACTATACTTCAGATAACTCAGATGCAAGTGGAGATAATGCGCTCTGGTAAATCAAAGATGGGTTCCGGTGGTGATAAAAACACTACCAGCTTTGAAGAGTCACGTGACTTCCTCAGGTTTCATGACACGGAGAGTGAAAAAAACCAATATTTAAAGCTGTATGCTTTTTCAATAAATATTTTTCAAAAGGAAATAAAATAAAATAAAGCTGTATGCTTTTAAAAATGCAAGTCTACCTTTGCAGACAATTTCGGTATCCAGTGAGATTCTATCACCCACCTTCCCAATTTATTTAAATTAGACAACCAAAAAAACCTTTATGGGGTAATCCCAGGGGGAAAATGGAGGTTTGGAACACATCCGGTGCTTTATTTGATAAGAATGGGTACAAAAGGGAAAGAGAGAATTCGTTTTTGTCCTCTTGGGGTATAAACAGTGATCAGAGACCATGAACGGGTAAACTCGTCAGAGACGTCGGTCTGGACGCTGGGTGTGCAGTGGCTGTCATTCTGAAGTGTGACCTCTCTTTAACCCTGCAGTGTTGTTTTAACTAAACATTGAGAACTTGCAATATGTGTCTAACACATACAGTAACAATGCATGGAACATGTGTGGATCTACCTCCCTGTTTAAGAAGTAAGAATTGGTCTATTCAAAGCTAAGCATAGGCAAGAATAGTTAACTTCTTTTCGTTTAGGCTGACAACTTGGACTTTTGGGGGTTTTCCATCTCGGCATAAAGACCCCATCTATGTTCTCAGCTGGGCAACATCTCAAACTCATCAGCCTCGAATCCCCAGTCCCCTACCTCCCACTGTCTCCACCTTTTCCTCGCCCTCCTCGGTCCATCTCCCCAGCTGGTATTAGGCAAATCCAAGTGTGATGTTCTCTCTACCCAGCAAACAAATCTCTAACCATTTAACCTAAATCAGAATAGTGTGGGAAGTGTAACTATTTGGGGGTTGCTTGCGGACAAAGGGAGAGCTAGTTTTGGACAAAGGGCTTAGAAGCCTGCTGAAATCTACCCCAGACATCGCCACTGCTCCTTGGAGAAAGGAGATGCTGTCTCTACACCAGTCTGTTCTCATCCAAACCTTTACCACGCTTCAAAGCAAAACTTTAGGTTATGTTTGGTGGACTGTTTGTGAAATACTTTAATCAATACTTAGAAAACTTGGGACTACTGGGCACAGAATAGACTGAAGTAACAGAAGTCCAGGTCAGACTTCTGAGTGTGTACAAAACCAGTTAGATTTGACTGGCCAGATTAATGGAAAGAGAATTTATTTTACAGATGTCATTTAGAATAGGCAGAGTCTAGCCTTAAATGCACAGCGTACATACTGGCAGGAAAGATAGGCAAGAAAAGCAAAGTAACACTGATGTACGATCATCTTCTCAGGTCAGGGCCCTCCAACGATGGGGAAATGTTTTCTGAGCATCATCAATACCTGAGACACATCCCGTAGTACCTCAGTGAAAACGGTGGTGTGTAAGTGAATGATTGGCAGTTGGCTTCACTCTGTTTACCTCTGCCCCACCCACCTTGAGAGATGGGAGGGTGGGCTTCAGAAGGCTGTGTTCCTTGCTATAACTGTGAGTAAGAACTCAGCACCAGCAGCTGGTCCCTGTAACATGCTGAAGAGAATCATCTGCAGGCAAAAGAGCTGGACGACCCGAGGTCATCTTTATTTCATTTCATTTTTGCAATTACTCAAATTGAGACAGCAAGAGAAAAATTTGGTAAATGTGTGGAATGCTGCATGGAAGCCAGGCTGCCTCTGAGCATCTCTGGGTAAGTTAAGAGGCTTTTTGTGAAATAATAAAAAAGGAACGTGGGGGCAGGGGGAGTTGAGGGCTACAGCTGTGAGAGGGAAAGACTGTTAGGTTATATCAGGACGGCCACATACTCCTTAGGCTGAAATTCAGTTCTAGATGAGATTTCCAAACAGCCCCTGGATGACTGAAAATTTCCGTAATGTTTACATGATTATCAACACTTTGCGTTAGCCACAGAGCTAAAATCGAGCACATGCAGTACAAGTTAGTAATCCAGATTTACTAGAATGCAATCCAATCTTTACTGTTTGGCTTTCATTTTTAATAATCTGCTTCTAATGCAGCTGAGATGACTAACTGTCACTACGATGGAGATCCTGAAGGAATGAGCACAGACAAAATCCACAGTGGACGGATACAAGTGCCCGTGAACATGACGCTGACATGCATGGGGGCATGGAAGTGAAAACCCTGCTTCTAAGTATTGTAACCAGTTGCATTCTACAGGTAGCTCTAACTCTTTAAAGTACAAAAGTGGGGGCCGGCCCCCACTTGCGGGTGGCGCAAGCAGTTAAGTGCGCGCACTCCGCTGCGGAGGCCCGGGGTTCGCCGGTTCGGATCCTGGGCGAGCACCAACTCACGGCTTGTTAAGCCATGCTGTGGCGGTGTCCCATATAAAGTGGAGGAAGATGGGCACAGATGTAAGCACAGGGCCAATCTTCCCCAAGAAAAAAAGGGGAGGATTGGCATCAGATGTTAGCTCAGGGCTAGTCCTCCTCACACACAAAAAAAGTAAAGGGAAAAAAAAAAAAAGTACAAACGAGGCAGTTGAGAACTAGGGCCCAATTCAGATTCCTGCTGCGTAACCAAGGGCAAGTTACTTCACCTCTCTGAGCCTCAGTTTCCTATAAAATGGAAGTAAGGAAAGCTGCCTCACTGTGCTGGTGAGGGTGAAATACACCAGTCAGGGTTAGAGTTGAGTTAGGGTGAGGGTTGGGTTAAGGCGAGGGTTAGGGTGAAGGTGAGCTCTAGGGGCGGGCTAGTTTCTGCCTTTCTCTTCCCTTGCCCCAGGTGCATGATCCCAGGGTGGGTGGGGAGCAGGTGAGGAAACAGCATCCAGCCACCTACAATTGCGTGCATACCAAAGAGACCTTTATGTGGGTTCCCAGATATGTGGACATCCACTCTCAATCCCAAGGCCAGGGGAGGCAGAGTGGTAAAAATCCCATAGGCCCGGGAGAAGCACAGAAGTGACAGTGCACAACGAGCCTGTAACGAATGCTCCTGCTCTGTCACAGATGACCCAGCCCAGGAAGGATGCAGCTCCTGCTGGTTCAAGACTGTACTGGGGTGGGGGGAAGGCAGAAAAGAGAAAAAGTGAATAGGAGACTCAAGAGAGCTGTCCCCAAACTTCAGAGAAGCCTCTGGTATTAAAATGCTAAATTGGCTATTTCTGAAGTACCTTTGAGTGCATTTTTACAGTCAATGGGGTTATTGTGAAATCTTTTGTTTCACTAAATCTCGATCGTGAGAACGAGAAGGCTTCAATTCAAGTCTTCCTAGACAGCCGGCCTAATAGACGAGGTGACCCGAATCATCTGATGTGCCTCCGCAACCTTCTAAAGGCAAGGAGATGAGGTGCAGTGAAGTGAGATGGAATTCCTGACGGTGTGGAATTAATTGTCTGTTACCTGCACTTCATTGTGTGTTTGGGCTCTTTAGTAATCCACTTGTCTAGTTGTATTTATGCCCATGTCACAGCGAACAGATCATGGCTGTATTATTTTTACAGACTTAAGAGTCTTTGGTTTTGGTTTCATAAGATGCTGTTGACTGTACAAAAGATTTTTTTTTTTTTGGAGTCCATGTTCAAGAAAGCAAACCTAAAATTAATGTTTCTATGGAGATACAGGGTTAATTTTACAGGGATTTGCTTTATCCTCACATTTCTATAAGCCAAGTTATGTAATTACAGGAATTACCCTGTAAACTTTATTCCCATTTTATAGTTGAGAAAGTAAAGTTTAGATGACCAAAACTAGCTATGAGTGCATCAAAGCCTCTAGGAATATAGTTTAGTTAAAAATAGGGATTAATTAGTATTTGGATGGTGAACATGAGAACATGACGTAATCCATGCAGACACAGAAGTATAATGATGTACACCTGAAGTTTACACAATGTTATAAACCAGTTATTGCAATAAACAAAAAATTTAAAAAAAATAGGGATTAGCTGGATGTTATTTACATCATGAATATGTCTTATGTGGAAAAAAGTGTTACAGCAGGTCTAGGATACC